CTTTCCTGGCTGAACCTAGCACAAGTAGGAAATTTGTTGGGAAACATACGAGGTACTACAAAATCTGTCACACTTAGGTTTTGGCCTCCTTCTTGTCGCTGTTAACATTTTGGAAACTTGTATTTCTCTGCTTCTGTGATAGTCTGGCTTTTACTGGGGAAAGAGGGTTGTAGGTGGTTGTGTTTGGTTTTGTTTCAGGGTAGGTTTTTTGGCAGTACAAGGGAATCATAGGATCTAGGGTCTTGATATGAAAACAAATCAGTGTTTTCTGCAGAAGTTGGTACCAAATATGAGGCAGTAATCTGCCTTGGGCGACTACACTAAACCTTGGTTTGCAGCTGGGCTGAGGTTCCTGGAAGTTTTCCATCTGCTGTTTTTTGTCGCTGTGTTAGGCATTGATTACCCCTGTGTTTCAGTTTCCCTGTTTCTGAGAATACTGTCTTGTTTAAGAAAAGCAGACAACATTTAGGTCTCGAATGTATGTGAACGCTGGATAAACCGGTTGGTTGATCAGATTCTTGCAGGTATGTGTTGCACTGGAATAAGAAGGCTGGTTTTTAGAGGTGAACTTCTAAGTCCGAGTTTTACCTCTGCAGTGCTTATATATATTTTTTTTTTAAAACAGAGGCTATAATTCTTAAGTAGATTAAATGAATCGTATAGAGGAGGAGACAGAGCAAAGCACCACAGGACCTCTAGAAGAAACGTTCTTGTACATTAGGATTAGTCTGTAGTATATAGACATAAAGATTCCATGTTTTAATAACTTTTAATAGTAGCAGTAGTTTTAGTTTTCTTTTTTATATAAAATCTGACTTAATCTGTCATGTCTGGCACAAATAAACTTTGCAGTATGTAGCGTTGTAAAATACAACTTTCTGGTAGAGTGGTTTGGGGTTTTTTTTACAAAATTTTTAAAGAGATCCTGGTACATGTGCATTCTTAACTAATGGGAAAAAATTTGTTAGTCCTAAGGAGAATTAAATGAAATGACAGTTAGAAAAAAAACTGGGCAATGAATGGGGAGAGGAAAGTTCTCAAACTCTTCTTTGCTTACTTAATTCATGGCTGACTTTAGCGAGTGTTAAGAAATCCTGCAAAGGAGATGGTCAGAATCTTGTTTGTTGTTGAGTTAGATGACGAAAAATGTTCAAGTAAAATAGCTCCAGCTATTCTTCCAGCAGCAGTACTAATTATTTAATTCTTTCCTTACTTGGCTTTTGAATTAGAGGCTTAAAAACATGATTCAGTCTTGAGATGAGTGAAACAAGATAGAATAGATTTTGAGGCTGGTTGGGGGGGAATCTTTCATTTATTTATTGAGATGGTGGCAAATAGAATAAAAAAAGGACTGTGAAATAAAATGTTACAGCTAATCTTTATTGTGAGTTAAAAGATCTTTTCCTTAGCAGTCACGCATGGTGCATTTTAGTGCTAAATAAACAACAGACAAACATTTAGAATATCAGCTGTATCATACTGGCAGCCATCAGTTCTTTACTGTTGATCGAAAGTGCGAGCAGAGTTTTGCTCCAGTCTAATAAGATGCCTTTCTTTGTAGTAAGTAGGTAGTTAATATGCTAATTCCTGGTGTCCCTTTCCATATGAAATAATCCCCATCTACTAACCTCTCTGGTGTGGGTATTACAGGCTCTTTGAACCCTGCACCCTCCAGATTTTTTATTTATATATTGTTTAATGCTGTTGTATCTTGATCCATGGTGGGATAACAAGGAACTTTGATAGATCATCTTTGGATAATCGCTTTGAAGATATTTACTGAAGAATTTTATCTTGCCTTGTATGTTTCAGGTTGTATAATAGATTGTCTAGCAGCAGATTATGCTTACTAGCTTGCACTGTCAAATACAGAGCTCTTAAATCTTTGGAGGATATAGCTGTTAGATTTCACAAATAATAATTTTTAAAAAGCCCACAAGAAACTGTTGCTTTAATATGATGAAAATCTATGTTAGAACTCCTGGAAGTGCTTTGATTTATAAATAAGATGAAATATGTTGAAATGTAACAACTCACTGTAGTTATCATGGTCTATTCAGAGCTAGTAAAAATAAAACAAGGTTATGGTGGTACAATATGGTATTTTTCTTAACTCCCATACATCTGCAGAGTATATTTGACTGGAATGTTAAACAACTGTTTCTATATTTGTCTGCAGAATATTCAACGAAAAACAATGTAAGTATCAGAAAGAAAGTTGAAGCGATTACCCGTTTTGTGCTGCAGCTATTTTTAACATTCTGAAGCTCTGCTGGGAAGAGTTAAGGCACCAGCATTTCCTGCTAGCCTGGGCTGGTTTTAGTGGCCTTCAGGATTGTTATTTTGTTGACAGTTTAGTTGCAGGGTGGGAAGTTCACCCTGATGAAACCGAACTCAGTATGTGCCCACCAGAGTGGGCCAGAAGTGATAGAGGCCTTGTTGTTCACTTACAATAGCGGACTCTGCGTGAGGGTTGTTTTCACCACTTGCTCTGCCAGTTTGCCTTTTCCCCGGTGTTCTGCAGTGGGCTGCTGTTAGAAACAAGATAGAAGCCCTTGGTGTGGAGAGGTGTGGTGGGTCCTTTGTTCAGCGGTCACAAAAGTGTTTGCCTGTACCACTTGCTGTAGCCCCATAGTATGTTTATGTTATCTTGTCATCCTTCTCAAAATTAATTGGCCTTGCTGCATCCTTTAAACTGGTTGCTACTGATATTTCACTTTGGATAGCTGAATTTAAGAATTTGGGGTCTGTATTTGAATTGTTCATACAATTATTGGGATTATACTTGCAATTCAAATAGAGGTTTTTTCCATTAAACTTGGAAAAATGTTAAATACCTAGGCAGCATCATGATAGCTCAATTTAAACCCCTTATTTGAAATGAAGTCTACATACTGCTCTAAAGGCAATTTACCTTTGCAGTTCAGAAGGAAAACCCATTATACTTTGTAAATCTTTGAAAGCTTATGACTTTTTTTTTTTTTTAATGGCTTTCTTATGTTTTACTGAGCTGTTCTTTGTAATTTCCATTTATGCTGTGCCACACTTTGGTGTGGAGTAGTACTAGTTTCCCTCCCTATAAGGCAGTATTTCGTTAGTTTAGTTCTGGGTTGCAAGCACCTGCTTCAACTCCAGGGTTTTTAGATTAATAATGCTATGAAATTCCAGTGACGGAATATGGTCTTGTAAGGTACCTTGCTGACTTAATTACAATTGTATCTTTAGGCTCTAAACCAAGTGGTGCTTTGGGACAAGATCATATTGAGAGGAGATAACCCAAGACTGTTTTTAAAAGGCATGAAGTCAAAGTACTTCTTCTTTGACAATGGAAGTGGTCTCAAGTAAGTAAATAATTTTTTAATTATTATTATTCATGGTGTCTTGATTTTATTTCATACTTTGCATTTTACATGTGTTTTTACTGCTGTGGCAAGGTACCTATACTTTATCTGATATTCTGTCAGTCTGTTGCTTCTTTGTAGTTAGAAGATGACCTTAGGATACAAGATAACTGGGTTCTCCTGTAGACTAGAAGATGCACTGCTACTATGAGAAATAGGCTTCTGGCTTTCTGCTTCCAATATCCTTGTCTGTGTAGAATTGGTTCTGGAATGCACTCAGTTCCAAAGGAGCTAGGTAACAGTTTAAAAAAAAAAAAACCCTAACATTCTTATCCGGGAAATAGTTGGTAGTTCATGAAGTAACTATATAAAAGGTAAAAAGCCCATTGTTTCTCGGTCAGGAAATCAATTTGTATCCTAATTTATTTAATAATAGTAATTATAATTTAAATAGGTTAACTTGAGTATTTGTGCTGATAGTCTTTGTTGCTTTTGCAGGGGAAACAGGAACGTCACTTTGACTCTTTCCTGGAATGTTGTACCAAATGCTGGCATTCTACCTCTTGTAACAGGATCTGGACATGTGTCTGTACCTTTCCCAGATACCTATGAAACCACGAAAAGTTATTATGATACTGAATCCTAAGCAAGATCTTTTTATACTTGTATATTGTGAATAAATTTTATTGCGGTTTTTTCTCACATCTCATGCAACCCTTTGAGTGAAAGGTACTTAATTTCTTCAGGTCTAACAGCATAGGAAGAGGAAATGAAAGTTCAGGGTGTTTGGTTTTGGGGTTTTTTTTAAGAAAATATTGAAGGTGAAACTTAAGGGAAAGGTAAATTGCGGAGTAATGGTTTTGGGGGGGAAACTGAGGAATTTTTTTTCTTTCTCCTGGCCATCTGGGTATAGAGCTCCTTTTAAATAAACATTTTTAAACCAGAAGATAGTCCTACTGTGGCTTTTTTTTAAGGTCCTGTGATAGTTATTTAATCTGTGTAGAACACGTACGCCTCCTGGGGTTAGTTTCTGTGAGTGCCTGAGGGAAATGGCTGCTCTGTTTTACAGCATTTTGCTAAATGCATGCTCAGCCTGTTACAGTAAGGTAAGCTTGGTCTTCTCTAGGGTTGCCAATGAGCTGCTTTGAAAGCTGATGGTTCAGTATCTGTCTGTCAGCCTGCAGATCTTGTTTTAAGTGCTACTGATGTAGCCCACATGCAATTCTGTATCATGAAACATTTTAATAACTGCTTATAATGCAGCTAACTGGAAGAATAGAAAGAAGTGGTTTTAGTATGTTAAGCATAAGTCAGTAAGAAAGGTACATCTTCAGGTAGAGAAAGACTGTCTACAAAACAACCACTTGCTTTTTTAGCAGGAAGAATAAACATGCTTGTTCCGGAGAGGGCTGGGACAACTATTGTTAGAGGGGCCCTTCCATAGCAAGGAATGGGACAGATATTCTCCAAAATAGTCTGGGAAAACATTTAAGAAATAGAGGATTTCCTGTGGGAACACTGGGAAATTTAGACAGATTTACCAGGTTGAATATGGATGTGAGTCTACCTGCAAGTCTTCCTGATGCATCAACCAGGAGGGATCACAAGCGGCGTGCAGCAGTCCCAGTCAGCACCTCTGCTGAAGAAGTGGCCTCGCTGTGGCTGCACGTCCTGCTCCCGGGCCTATTTCACTCATCTACTGCTGCCGATGCTTGTCATAGTTGGGAGGATAAAAGAAGAAGCGGGATCAGGACTGCCTCTTGGTGTTACTGGTGGTTTATATTGGTGAACTGGAATGTTTCTTGCTTGTGTATCCAGAAGGAGGAGTGCTGGCCACCATACCTTCCTGACATAGGCTTTAACGTGCACACACATGTATTCAAAGTGTGGTAAAAGTTAACGGATTGCCAGATGTCTGAGTGTTCTGAAAGTGCCAGGAGCTTTCAAAAAGTGCAGATGTCATCTGAAATTAAAACTATGATTTTTTTAAAAACTACAGGATAATATCCTCCTACAGAGTAAATCAGAAAAAATAATAGGAATGACATTAAGAATTGCAGTGTGACAAACTTTTCAAAAGAGGAGATGCAAAATATTGGAGCCCTTTTGTTGTGAGTTCACCTAAGAGCTGATGGATTTTGAGGAACCCAACTTGCTTTTAAAAAGGAATCTTAGTCACCTTAGTTCACAAATACCAATCTAGCACATTCTCTGTGGTGCTGTATCAGACAAAGTGGTGTGGAAAAAAATTTTCAAAGTCCTTTTACAAACAAAATGTTGGGATTTTAAAGCGTGAAAACTAAAAAAATTACATAAATATTTTAGGACATCTTCAGTTTTATCCAGCATATTTACATGAATTTCAGTTCTCTCAGCTGGTGCCGTTTTATACGTATCAGCATATGGGCACGCTGAAGTCCACCCTGGTTTTTTGTGCTTTGAGAGCAAACGGGTGGATTGCTCTAAAAACTTGACTGTTACAGAGGACTTAACTGCTGTTACGCAGAAGGAAAGCAAAATATTTTTTAGAGATAATTGGGCAGAGTTGGGGAGGGGTTTTGTTAATTGCCAAGTAAGTGGTTGTCTTATTCATAAATTATATTCCTGAAGTGTTTACCAAAACTTGCTTCTTGTGGCTTGGCATTCAGCCAGTTCCCTGTATTCCCTTGGCAGTACTATTCCAATGAATATAAAGGCTGTCTGTGAAAAAGGTCTTTGAGCTACAAAGGCAAGGGTCTGCTGTTAAAACCATCAGGGGTAAATCTACCTTCTCTGCTCCAAAAGGGTATATTCCTCCCATCAGATAGTAGCAGAATTTTAAGACACTAAAACTGTAGCTTGAAACATGAATTTGAAGCTTTTCTAGCCTTTCTGAGTGAAGAAAAATTACAATGAGGTAACCCTTTTAGAGGGATGAAGAAGGCACGGGGGTTTCAATTCAAGTCTGTGGGAGAACACGGTTTTGTCCTGAGGGAAAGGCCAGCACAGATGAGCGCTTAAATGATACTGGGGTAGCTTCAGCCGCCACGTGGGACAGGATGCTCTCTGTTCTCTTCTTGGTTCTGACAGCAGAAAGGCAAATTCCTGAGTTGGTCTCTTTAAAGTCTTTCAAAAAGTCAACCGACTACTGTATTTTGTTTTCATGATTCTTAAACCTTAATAAAAAAGAATGCTCTTTTATGGCATTTACACCATCTTTTCCAATACATCTTGTATAAAGGGGTATTATTGCTGGCAGCTGGTGGTTCTCTCAGGTGTGTTGCTAACTAAATAGTGATGATTTATGTAGTGATGTGTAGAAAAGATGTATTCCCTAGCAACTGATTGATTTAATGAGAAAAGGCTTGAAACCCTGTTGTACGAAATTTGAACCGAAAGCACTTCTGATGCTTTTCAGATAACAATTGGTTCTGGAGACCAGAGTACTTGTCAAAGGACTGAAAAATGCAAACTCTTGAAGTGGCCTGGGTTTCCATTTGCTGTTGAGAGTATGCAGCATGACACAGAAAACCCTTTAAAGTTTTAAAATCTGTATTTAAAGCTTTGGTCCCCTGCGCATGCAGTCGTATAATGAAAATAGACATTGAGAAAATAAATTACTTCTATTTAGTCTTTAGTAAGTTTCTTGTGAACAACAAAGTTAAAGCTAACTATTATATTCCTTAACAGCTAGTTTCAAGTAGAGCTCCTGCGTTATTTTTGGATTGCACATGTTGAAAATGTTATGCTTCTGAAAATTATTTCAAGAGAGGTTTTGCAGGAACAGTTCTGTAAAATGAAAGGTATTTAGACTGAAAATTCAGGTATTGGAGGAGAAATCTTAATCCAAATTTGTGTCAGAAAATACATAGAAAATCACTATTTGTAAGTCTTTGGTATTTAAGGAATGTTATTCTGAGGGGTTTTTTTGGCTTTATTTTGGAAGAAAATTGAGATTTTCTCCATTAAAAACAATTTAAAACCTTTAAAACCATTCATGCAAACAAACGAGCAAATGGGCATATACTTTTTCGCATGGAGTCCCATTCTAAGCACACACGTATTACACACATACTGCAATAGTCACATCAAGCATATTTTTATTAAGAAAAATAAAATCCCAAACTTAGCTTGAAGAAGCCAAACTGCTGCTGGATCTTTCTCTGGTGTCCTCCACCACTGCTCTGGGACCATTTTTGTGAATCTGCACGTGAACGAAGAGGTGAATCAAAGGTAAAGATTAAGTAGGCATTCCATTGTTGAAGTTTCTTTTTCCCTTAATATTGTGTCAGAGTAATGGTTCATTTTATGCATGTTATTATTTAGTTTATCCACTAATAATTGTGCTGAATTTGCTTTTGTTTTGCATGGAAAGATGGATTTATTTTTTTTCTCTCTCCTGGTTACTCCAAATGCCAACCAAGTTGCATTTATGATTTCTTTCTCCAAACAATAATGGTCTGATAATGAAATTCTCTGTCTTCTATGCATAAGCTATGGAGAAAACAAGACCCTTCTGAATCAATATAGTTACATTATCCGGACTTAATAAGCTGTTGATTCAAAATGAAAATAATGGAGTCAAATGTATCATTAAGAGAATATTTCAAAACTCAAATATGGTAAAAAAGGGGGTCTCTGACCTCCTGGCCCCTCCCATTCCCCCCAACTCGGTGCTGATGGAGCACACCAGAGTCACCTGGAGCCATCCTCTGCTTTCCAGCTGTAGCCCCTTGTGCACGTTAGCAGGGTCAAGGCCATAAATACTGAAGGAAGAGCTGGCGCTCCTTTAAAATCATAAAACTGGCAGAAGTGGATTAAAGAGAAGATCCATATTTCCAGCGCTGGAGGGCTGTGACAGTGAGTAAGTGGTGTATGTGGGGACAGGTTTGTGGAGTACCTGTAACTTTGTTAATGCCAACAGCTTTGCAGTTGTAATCCAATTACTTCTGGGTTCTTTACAACGAAAATCCATGCTGATTTCCAGAAAGAGGCTGGTATTCTTAAGATGTAATGGAAGTGGGGTTTTTTTGCAAGCGACTGTCTCAAAAATACTACCTGGTGGTAGCTGGAATTGCCTGGAGGGGTGTGCGAGTAACCTGCTGCCTGGCTGCACAGGTGGATGGCAGGTGTCAGGGGCAGCTGGGGGCTCCTGATGAACGCTCCCACTGCGGAATTAGGCTTCGTGTGTGGGGTTTCGCTTCTGCATCAATAGGGGTAGTAGGTACGGTGCTGTTAATGCAGTCTACCTCCTTGCGCGGTGCTCCTTCCGTTCCCAGGGTTTGGTTTTGCCAAGCGAACGCTGTGGCCCTGGGCGCTTGTGCTGAGCTGGGTGGGTTGGATGTGGCACACAGGAGAGGTTTCAGAGCGCGGTGATGGGAGCTACTGCCAGGAGAAGGGGGTTGGATGGGGCTGTGGAAGATCAGATCAGAAATGAGTCGTTTAAGTATAAAATGCATTTGCCTTTAAGAAGGGCTTAGGTGTAGTTATGAGTGGGGATAAAGCAGACAAAAGAGCTTTTCTGTTGTGTAAGGTAGTAATTGAAGATTAAGATAAAAGTAGTTTAACTGTGATTGAGAAGTAACAGCAATGAGATTGTTTGTGGCTGCTTAGGTCTCTTTTTCTATTCTACTTTTCTTACTAAAAGTTTTTGGTTGTGTGTGTGGT